GCATTCCTGTGCTTGGGGAGCCATGGCGGTCAGCCTGCCACCTGCTCCTTCTGGGCTGTGAGGAGCGTTTACATGGAGTGCCCATCTCCACTGTGAACGTGCTTTCACCTGTAACGGGTCATATACTGAATAAGTGACCAGGAAGCACTGGTCATCTCTGTGCTGTACTCAGTTTAGAAATTCTCAGAGTGTTCTGTTTTAGCAGTTATCTATTCTGGCGTGGCTCTCATGCTTAGGGTTTTTTCACAAATTTAAGGAATAACTCATTTTAAAAAAGGCAGTTCACCTTTGCTCTTAAAACAAACAAGCAAGCAAACCTCCCCAAAAAAGCACACAGCATATTGTCCTCAACACTGCGCGTTTCCTTTTATAGGAGTGATTCTTAACTATGGTACCTAAGAATCACCAGTGAAGTCTTAGAAACAGATTCTTGGGTCCCCCCAGCCCTAGTGAATTGGTCTCTTATCTGTAGCCGCGGTTGAAAATCTTGTCAGGTCTCTGTGTTGCACAGGTAACGTCTTCCGAACACATGGACACTCAGAGGGATCTTTAAAGATTTAAAAAAGAATATGAGCTGCCTGTGGGCAGTAACTTTTTGTCTGTTCCTATTCACATAGTGGGCATTCTTAAATATTATTGAACTGTGAAAATATTGAGGGGTCAGCCACCCTTTGGAGCTTGAGAGAGCATAGAAGAAGGAGGGGTAGGGTGCCAGAGCCCTCGGGGTGGGGGGTTAGTGCTACCCTCCTGGGGACCCCCGCCCAGAGCATTCGCTGCGCAAACCCTCGAGCACTGAACACAGTGTACTGTCATTGTAGGGTTGTGTGTGTCTCCCTCAAGAGGCGAGCTGCTTAGGACAGTGGCTGAGACTCCTATGTGTTCTGCATTTAGGACCATCAGTGTTACGTGAGTGAATGAAAGAGCGTACCCCGAGGGCTCTGCATTGAGACAGTTGGCAAGCTATTTTGTTGCTGTGGATTTTACTAACAGTTCCATTTTTAAAGTACTTCCTATCCTCAGGCTTATAAAATTTTGAGTATTTGTGAATACTGTATTCCAGAAAGCATAATGGCAAATTGACTTGGGGAAAAGTATACTTCTGAGACTGTCGACATCAGTGACTTGGGATTGTGGACAACTAGTTTGAACACAAGATGGCAGTAGACCCTTAACTGTGAAAGCAAGTCAAGGGATATACCTTTGACTCTAGTAGAGATGAGCGTGAAACTGATAGGGCCAGACAGGACTGGGAAAGGGCCCATTCTCTGTAGTATCCCTGAGACCCACTAACACAGCCTCTCACAAAAGTGAGTCTGTTTTAATTTAAAAGACCTCCACGGAGTGAGAATCCACTGTCTCCACTGCCCTTCTGGTTCTGTTACTACCTTCACTGGAAATGGTGAAACAGAAGAAACTATGGAGATAATCTAGTGCGAGCTCCTCTTTTTTCAAATAAGGAAACGAAGTGCTAGAGAGGTAAGCAATTTGCCTAAGGTCATACAACATACAACAGCGGGTGCCACCTGGCTGGTTCTGGGTCCCTGACTTCCAAACGAGTGCTCTTCCCACTAAACCTGAATTCCTCCATCGCACGTTTGCACCTCAGGCCAGTTTCCTTTTCTTTAGTAATGCAGTACCAGGTAATGGTCATTTGTCTTCTACATAAATGACCCTTCATATGTAAAAAGCATACTGCTACTTTTCCAGAGTGAGTCTTTATTTCTGTGGCACCTTCTGAGCACGTGGAAATTTATTTGAAAAATTAATTTAAAACAATGGAAGTGTATCATTGAATCGCCGGGGGACCCTTCAGGAGTTCCTGAGTATTTCTTACATGTAGAGAGGAAAAGGAGATTAATACTCTGTTTGGAATTACCAAAGAAGCTCTCTTACCTGTCATAATTGAGATGAATAATTTTTAGTGAATAATTTTTAGTGAAAAGGGTTAATTAAAAATGGAAGTCATAAAAATTTACACATATATATCTTAAACACTTTGTTTTAACTTAAAATACATAAATGTCCCTTCGTTCATTTTACGTTTGATGGAAAGACAGGATACTTTCTTCGAATTGGGTCTGCAGGTTAGAGATGGCACTAGTCTTTCTTGCATTAACAGCTTTCATTTTGCATCATCTGTCTGCAGTTTATACCTGTAGTTTTTCTTCAAAGAGAGGTTCTGAAGATACTCACAAGGCTGTCTGGGCACCAGAAGCCTTGCAGATTTGTGCACTTTTTTTCTTACCATTAGAATTGTCTGAACCTAATTTGAAAGCATTTTTTTGGCTCAACTTAATATTCATTGAAGCAGTTTTAATTTTGTACTTACATTTTATCAGTTGCTATAATACTTATATAAATTGTCAAACAACAAGATTCTACTGTATAGCCCTGGGAACTATATTCAATATCCTGTGATAACCATAATGGGAAAAAATATGAAAAAGAATATACACACAGACGCGCGCGCGCACACACACACACGTGTGTGTGTGTGCGCGCATCTGTGTGTGTGTGTATATAACTGAATCACTTTGCGGTACCTCAGAAATTAACACAACATGCTAAATCAACTATACTTGAATAAAATAAAATTTAAAAGAAAACTCCTTCCACTTCAAAAAAATATTTATGTAAATTATGCAACTGTAATCACAAAACAACTGCCATAAACAGGTCAGGAAGAAATAAAACTAGTTTATGTTACAACCAAAACTCAGCTGCTGGGAGAAGCAGCAGCCGTGTGCAGCAGACCCTGGGCGGGCTTCACAAAAGGAACAGAGCAGTGCTTAACCCTGTGAGGCAATTCAGGCCCCCTGTGTACAGACTAGTGATTAAAACGATCACTAGGCTGATTTTTCAGTAGCATTAATGTTTTTATCATAATAAACTCTTACATACTAGGTGGGTAAAACATAATTCTTATTCAGTTACTTTTGTTTTTAATGAGCTCTGATAACGTAAGAACATTAGAACGTAGTTTGAACACAGTCAAATTTATTTGATCGTTTTCCAAAGTCACGTAGACATAAATTTGAGCTTGCAGGAAGGAATTGAAGTTAGTGGAGTGAGTCTAATATTATCGTTAAATTAAACCTACATATTTTCAGACCCTTCTAGCTATTTTCATTTAATGAATCAGAAGTATCAAAGTGTCATAAGTTCTTGTGGGTTGCGACAGTGGTTACAATGAAAGACCACTTTAGAATTCCTAAGCATGATTAATAGTGAAGCAGAGACTTGTAGTATTTTTGTAATTACTTTGTAATATATTTGACTTCATCAGTCTGCCAGTGTTTTGTTCCAGCGTTTGGATGTGTTGATACCTTCTGCATTTGAAAAGGTATGCTGGGAGATAAAATGGCTCATAAGACGATGGTTCGGAGGTACAACCTTCCTCTTGGCATTAATTCATGATGAGATGTTTGCAATTATGATATTCTCAAGTAGCATTCTAGGATGATGACTTTACTGTCATGAGAGTTGAAGTAATTTTTAAAGTAAAAAAGATAATATGATGGATATTTTGATTCTTTGCATATTGAGGGTAAATGCCGAGGAATGAGAAGAGGAATGCACATAGAAATAAGGCTACGTGTAATTCTTTAGTCTTATCTAATCTTATCCATGTAAATGGGTTCTTGATTTCTCTTCCTTTCTCTACCTACTCCTCAGGTTCGGTGATTTATGAGAAGGCAGAGATGTAAGAGTCGGGCAGCGTAAAGAGACGGGGCGAGGGGAGGGGCGGGGTGTCTAATGATGTCTGAGAAATTAATTTAGAAGTTATCAAGATATGCGTAGGGGTTGGTTGTATATTGATTTTTTTAACTTTGTTTCATTTATAGACTCTCTGAAATGTAAAAATCTCCCTTTCCATTCCACAGTGAGATAAAAAATCTTAGGTTACCTTTGGTTTTAACTTTGGTACGATTTATGAAATGTAGTATTTTTTGAAAACTTCTTGTATCGTAATAGCATTTGATGAATATGTTTAAAAAAGAAAACTGTGAAACTCTTAGTATTTAAAATTACCCATAATGTTTAGAAACTTAATAGTTGGAGTTAAGATTATCTAAAAAATGAACGACTTGCCTGGTCCTCTATATTTCAGAATCCAGCAAGCTAAAGTGCAAATTCTTCCTGAGTGTGTGTTGCCTTCAACCATGTCTGCAGTTCAGTTAGAATCCCTCAATAAGTGCCAGATAGTTCCTTCAAAACCTGTCTCATGGGAAGACCAGTGTTCATATAAATGGTGGCAGAAATACCAGAAGGTGAGAAACTTATTTTTTATGCCTCTTCAAAAAAAACAAAGACAGGTTGCTTTTTTCCTGTTTAAGAAAGAAAAACAAACAACTCTCATGATTTCCTTCCCCAGACTCCTTCTGGACAATATTGTAGCCGCGTTTGATCATGCTGGAGCTTCTAAAAATTTCATAGGCAGCTGTGTATGTATAAGCAGTTTGCAGCAGTAGTAAAATGTTACCGTACTGTGAGGTATTCCAGCTATTATGCCTGTAAGTTATGTATTAACTAATAACTCGTGGTGTTAAGTTCTGCAGGAGTCTCTCATTAGACTGTGGTCAGATGAGATGCCTGGCTCTTGAGTCATAAATGCTTTACCTCAGAAAAAGCGTTTGGGAGAGTGCACAGGAGTGAAGCGCGTTTTCCTCCTTCTGCACTTCTGAAAGGAAGATTTTTTTTGTTCTTTTTTACAACACTATTGACATCACAAAAATTGGCTTGAGACTAGGTGCTCTTTAAAAGTATTGCCTGTTGGGGCATTAATTCCTGTGTATATCCTTTCGGCTAGATCATTCTTTCTCTTAGAAAAAATACTGATGAAGCTTGTTTGTACTCATTTGTGAGATGTATCAGTCACGAGTATAAAATACCTAATATTTATGATTTCTACCTAAAGGAAAAAATTTGCTAGTTCCTAAATTTAGAATCAGTTGGGTTTTTGAGATTTATCTTTTAAAAATATGGAAAGGGGCTTCCCTGGTGGCGCAGTGGTTGGGAGTCCGCCTGCTGATGCAGGGGACACGGGTTCGTGCCCCGTTCTGGGAAGATCCCACGTGCCGCGGAGCGGCTGGGCCCGTGAGCCATGGCCGCTGGGCCTGCGCGTCCGGAGCCTGTGCTCCGCAATGGGGGAGGCCACAGCAGTGAGAGGCCCGCGTACCGAAAAAAAAAAAAAAACAAAAAAACAAAAGTAAAAATATGGAAAGACACTTTTCATAGTAACCTGAAAAATCCTGTGCTAATCATCCTTTACTCTTTGTCATATAGAGTAGTGAAGTTTTTAATTTTGATGTAGATTAGCATAGGATCCTAATTTGATGTGATCAGCATATATTATTCATAAGATGGTCTCATACACTAGTCACTGTACCTCCACGTTTAGTGGTCTTGCAGTAGAAGTCATCCAGTTTCCAGAGAGAGCTTTGTGCAGCATGGGTGGTTGATGGGCAGCAGGCTCATGACTGGCTTTCTGTAGGCTCCTTGGTCTCGTTATTTTGTGTTTCAGCTGACCCAGTCTGTGTCATGATATACTGTGGTTTAATTCGTGTTTCTAAGAAGATTCTGATGAGAAAGTTTAATTAGACTGCTTAAAGTTTCCCAAGCTTTGACACTAAAATTTTTGAAGGTTTCAGAATATTGTTACTGCTGTAAGTTTATAGTAGCTTTTGTATAGCTGTGCAATACCTGTATTTTCAGACTTGATACAGGCACTTTAAATATACTTTTTCTCTTGTTTATTTTAGCAGTAGAACAGTGGAAGGTTTTGCTGTCATAGTCATTTTCAGTGTAACTGCTGAAATAAGTATGTGGAGGATAGCTCTGTTGGTACATGGCTCCGTGGAGCGGTTTTGGAACGTGTGGAGTCATTTAGTGCCTAACAGTGTGTCTGGCACTGGGTGGTGCTGAGATGTGGTTCTTTGGTGGGGTAACCACATCGGGGTGTGCCTCCACAGCCTCTTAGTATTTAGACAGCTGTGTATTTCAGTCACTGGATAAGTTTTCAGAAGGTAGTAAGCATTTTGATTTATATAATGGTTCTTCCATACCAAGATTTTTGTTAAAAACTCTTAACTGCTTATAAATCGTTAACTCTTTGCACAGCTCTAAGCATAGAGCGAGAGTGATTGGAGTTAATTCCTGACTTAAGTGCTCTGGACGACTAGTTCTGTGTTGTCTTTGCAGGTCCTTGCTATCTTAAACCTGAACTTGGGTTAGGCAAATAAAACTTTTTACGTGTAATTTTTGTGTGAATTACTGATTAAACTCTTCCTATTCTGTGGTTAAAGCACCTCCACGTGTTCACATTGAATTCAGAATTAGGCCTTTGCAGCTGGGTTGTCACTGGCTCAACAACAGCGAGGAAGGACACATGTGCAAAGGCCAAGGAAGCACATTTTTGTTTGGAACCAGATCTTTTGACCTTTGCCTGTTGTCTTATTTCTCCAGTAATTCTGGACTCTCAAACAGTAGCCCTCAGTTATCTTCATATTCAGAGCTGCCAAGAACTAAACAGAAGGTGCTAAGGAATGAGAGAGACATAAAAGGCTTTCAGAGATAGAAATGCCTCATCCCTTGTTTTTTTCAGATCGTTCAAGGGGCTGGTTCCCTTGCTTAAACTTTGGGTAGAGTTTCTTAGGTTCTGAAATTTGGATCTAGATCACTAGGCCAAGAAAAATTGCTAGCTGATCTATTTTGGACTCCAGGTGCCCTACAATCTCTGTTCTACTTTAGAGAGACCACTTACAGCCATCCTGCTGGCATCAAAACGTGGAGTGGAGCAGAGGGAAGGGATGGCAGGTGACACCGGTGGGAACTCCACTGGCCCTGGTCCCGTCTCAGTGGGTCATCCTATTGCACCCGTAGCCGGACACTGACTTGCGTCACAGCGCTTGTCTTCAGACAGAACTGGGGCTCGGGTCAGCCCTCTCTGCAGAGTTTATTTACGTCTGACTTGTGCATCTTTGTGTCTGAGAAATGGTTCACAGGGTCAGAACTGGGAGATGCTTAGTTGATTCTTAATCCAACTCACAGTAATCGGGTTGCCACACACTTTTCCACCAGAAAAGATACTTAAAGGGTCTAGGAGTGGAGTGTAGTCTTCCTGACATGTATTCAGTTAACCTTGACACTGTGTGCACACCTCTCTTAACATTTGCCATTGAAAACTGAAAAATCCAAATGACAAAATTATTTACGCTTCTGTTATCTTCCATCCTGACAAGGGAACATTGGAGAAGATGTCCCTGTTGATTAAGGAGTTAGGCCAGTGTTATCAGGAAGCACTTTTCCAAACCCACTTCTATCTGGAAACCTTCCTCATTCAGTGATTCGATCTTTGAATCTCATGTTTACTTATTTCCTTTCTTAACAGTGCCTTTCTCTCTTCACTGGGTTTACTGTAGTGGGAGTCCCTGAAAGAGAGGAAAGTGTTGTTTCACCTACTTGGAGTACAATGTGAATGTTTCTAAGTACACTCCCTGCTTGCCCAGACTATCTACTTGTTCATTTGTAAAGCCCTTCTATGTCAATCAGAAAAAGAGTTGAGTATGAAGTATAAAAAGAAATCAAACGTGGGTGGGCTTCCCTGGTGGCGCAGTGGTTAAGAATCCGCCTGCCAATGCAGGGGACACGGGTTTGAGCCCTGGTCCGGGAAGATCCCACATGCCACGGAGCAGCTAAGCCCGTGCACCACAACTACTGAGCCTGCACTGTAGAGCCCGCGAACCACAACTACTGAAGCCCACGCGCCTAGAGCCCATGCTCCGCAAGAGAAGCCACCGCAATGAGAAGCCCATGCACCTCAACGTAGAGTAGCTCCCTGCTCGCTGCAACTAGAGAAAGCCTGCGTGCAGCAACGAAGACTGAACACAGCCAGAACAAAAAGAAAGAAAGAAAGAAATTTGTTAAAAAAAAAAAAAAAAATCAAATGTGGGAACATATTAAGAAAGTGACTGAAGTGTATCCGTCTGGTCTCTGCTAAATTTATAAGCCATGGTTGCTCCTGCTTCTCGTACAGAACAGGGAGGAACTGAGCACTAACCCAGAAGGGGGAGGCCCCAAACAGGAGTTCACAGGTTAGCGTCTCAGTCTTCTTCCCAAGTTTCCTTATGAAAATACAGATAAATATTCTAACTTCTTTCCTTTTTCTTATGTAAAAGGATCCATACTGTCCTGCACCTTCTTCTGTCCTAAGAGTGTAGCAGATTCTTCTGTATTCGTTTTTGGAGCACTGCTTCCTTCTTTTGAAAGCTGCACAGTATTCTCTGTATGGATGCACTATAATTTATATAACCAGTCCCCTCTGGATGACAGACCTGCACTAAGTGCTGCGTACAAATGACCTTTCACAAATGTGAATATATAGGGCAGATTTTGACAAGTGGGATTTTTGGATGTCAGGGCAGCTGCACTTGTAATGTTGACAGGTGTTTTCACAGTACCTCACTAAGAAGGTTGTTCCTATCTGTGTCCTGATTGTCGGTGTTTCACCAAGGCTTTAGAGTATCCAGCTTAATTTTTGCTGATCTGATAGGTGAAATACAGTATCTTGTTGGAGGTTTAATTTGAATTTCTCTGAGTATGAGTGAGGTGTGTGGCACTTGGTGTTGAAGAGCGATTCGTGTCTCCTTTAGTTGGTCTTGTCTTCAGTCTTTGCCCTTCGTTGATTGCTAGGAGTTCTTTACTCACTAGGAAGCTTATCCTTTTGTCTGTGATTAATGGGTTCCAAACATTTGCTTTAGTTTGTCATTTCTTTTGTCTTTTGTTTTTGGTGTGCTGTCATACATAGTTGAATTTATCTTTTTCATACTTCCATATTGTGAATCGTAACTAGAAATACTTCCCTGTGCAAAGGAGTCTTCATTCCTTACGAACAGTAAAACATGTAATCCTTTACTTCTGATTTCGTTGTCTTTAATGACCAGAATGTAAGCTTTGATCCAAGTGTAGTTGATCCTGGTATGATTTCAGTGCTCCTCTTTCCAGGTGGCTCCCGGTTGTCCTGTGACCATTTTCTGAGAGGGTCATATTTTCCCTCCCTGAGATGCGCTTATTGTAGACCAGATTCATGTTTTTTATTTTATTTTTCTTCTGCTCTGTAATCAGTTTGTTTATGCCTCACCAGGATACTGCTATAACTGTTGACAGTTTATAATCTTGTAAGTAAAACTGTGACCAGTACCTCTCACTGCTCTTCTCTTTTTAAGGTTTGTTTGGCTACTATTGCATTTTAATTTTTGCATGTGAATATTAGAATCTGTGGTTGCCTTGTTCCAGGACAATAATAGTATCAGGAGGAGCAATGATATTTGTTGTCTACTTTTATCGCAAAAGAAGAAAAGTCTTGGAATCGTGGCTATGTGTATTCAGGGACTTTCTCCAACCAGAGTAGGGATTTCCCTGGCATACACCTTTAGCTTATAGTTGTCCATCTGCCATTATGAGCTTATAAGCCTCAGGATCAAGAAAAAGCTTGCCATTCCATTCCAGTTCTTATAAGCAAGTAGGATTCGATGAAGGAAGGAAGGAAACAGAAACTTGTTTCAAAAATTCAAAAGCTTGAATTATTTGGATAAACTGTTTTTATCATTTACATTGCTGATTGTGATAGGTCTTAATACAACAAACGACCGCCTCTGGTCACCGTGTAAACCAGTGGTAACATTTTACTATTCACACTTAGCCTTTCACATTACTCTTCCAATTTCATTGCCCTTCAAAGAACCATTTAAGTGGAGTTTGACATTTTTTGAACATTCTGCGTTGTTGGGAGGCAAAGCCGAAGCTATAGTTATGAGGCTTAAAGATGGAAAAAATGTGATGGATTACCTCCACGTAACAGACAGTCATTTGAAGGGCCTTTCTGCCTGCTTTCAGAGTAAGTCCTATTCCTGGAGTGAATCAGATCACTGGAGAATCAGATCACTTCCAAGCACCTAACTTTTTGGCTAGTATTAAAATTTTCTTGAAGTATAGCCCTTTTAGGAAGTAAATCATGGTGCTGACAGACTTGAAGAATGCCCGTAAATTGCTGGGACTTATCATCAGTATTACCCAGATATAAGTCGGGCCTTTCCTATTGTGCCAGGAATCTAAATGGAACTCTTAAATTTGAGGATATTGAAGTGGCTTAAATTTTGGCAGTTCAGTAAAAGCTAGCTGATCTCTTCTGGTTTACTTCTCTTCAGTTTGTACACTTGACTTTCTAAAGGGTGTAATATTAAGGTTGTAGTACGTATATTTAATTGATTTGTAAATACAACTGTAGAATCTGTCAGGGTAATCCTGATAAAGAATTTTAGAGGCCGCCTCACGTTGAAAAGTAGGGAACAGAGACCCGAGGCTGCAGCTTGTTCACATTCACAAAGCCTGGTAGGAGCAGGTCGGATGGTCATGACACTGACCCTGATGGTGCCTTGCCCTTCATATCCTATTTGCTGTATATTATAGTGAGAAGTAATGTTTATATATAAATAAATTATCTTTTTGTGGGTGTCAAATTACTTGCTTTTGTGTCACAAAAGCGATCATTTTGATGTGTAAAGTATCTATTAGTGACTGAATTCAGAGTGTGTCAGTCATCCAAACTGAAACTTCATTGGATCTTTGTCATTTTGTAATGAATGCTAAGTAGCCCTCTAGAAAGCTTCTCCCCACTGAAACGTAAGCTCCACAGGGCAATGATTTTATTCTTCTGCTGTGCTTTTAATCATTGGTATACACCAAATGCATAAAAATAACATCAGGTACATCCTAGGTGCTCAGAATATTTGTTGAATAAGTAGCGGTTGGAGTCAGACCCCCTGAATGCCCATCCTAGCCAGTCCCCATTTACCAGCTGTGACCTTGAGCAAGCATCCTTCTGTGCCTGTTTCCTTACCTTTAAATTGGGGTGGTAATACTGCCAATCTTATCAAAGTCTTTTAAGACATGTGACGTGGTTGCCATTACTATTACTGAATATTGTTACCTGACGGGCTGTTAGCATTTTTTATTCTGTAACTGGACTCTGACAAAAATTCTTATTAGCGTTAGGTTTTGGTCTGACTCCTCAGGCTTATTAAATCACTACCTGAGCCTGTGCTCAGAGGCCATCCCAGACCATATTTGGGTAGCTTCAAACATAAGAATTATATTGAGTCCCAAGTTATTCTTTAATAAGAATCCACTCGTTTGAGCTGTAGCCCATGAGCCTTTGAGGGCAAGTCTGTCGTCATAGCTGTAGCCCACGAGCTTTTGAGGGCAAGTCTGTCGTCATCCACGTAGCAGTTTCTGATTTATTCGTAAACAAGTATCACATCCTCTTGAGAGGCAGCGCCAAACCACACATCCCTGGTGTGAACTCTAGACCTTATCTTCAGCATCCTGGCCCCTGACAGTGAAAGTCCCCATTTGTGACCATCACAGAAGAGCAACATTACTGTCTCATCTTAGTGCCTAGTCTTCTTCTAATAGCGCTAGAGTAAGATTTGGGGGGTGGGGGGGAGTAGGGGGTGAGCTCTGCAGTGCGTTGGTTAGTTTACAACCATCAGCTAAGACTCCAAGTCCTCTCTGCATGTGCCGTGTACCCACGTTCCCCATCTCGCACCCTCACTTGGGTCTTGCAGCTGCAAGCGTAGGATTTCCCTTTTATTTTGTTAAAGGTTATCTTGCCTTTCTTGTTCCACTCTGATAGTTCTTTCTGATCTCCCATACCGCTTTCCCACCCAGTTTCACATGTCATGCCCTGTCAATTGACAGCTTGTGTAGAAAATTACAAATATGTGTACATATGTAGGTTTTGTTTTGTTTATTAAGAAAATGTGATCATTCTTTATATTGTATACATTCTTTGGTGGGGTGCAGAATCTTCTCTGGTGTCAAAGTATTCTATCGTATTTAACTATTGTTGAGAGATGGTTAGGTTGCTTACAACCGCAGCGCATCCTTTCAATCCTGTTTTCGTGTCCTGTAGAACACTTCCCTTTCCAGATTTTCTTGGTTGTGTTTACACATCTGTTCTTTCAGATGAACTTTAACTTATACTTCTAAGTTCCAGTCTCATCGGTATTGCATTGAATGTATACTCTGAGGACTGACATGTTAATTATTGGGTCTTCGCAACATTGAACTGCTGCAGGAATTCAAGTAAAAACATCATTGTCAAATGTAGTAGATAATCGTCTATTATGGGATTATCTGCAAGCTTTTCCATCTTTTTGAAATTAGAAAGTCTTCCTGGGCCAAGATCATTTTTTAAATGTGTTTCTTTCTACTATAAGATCTTGATTCTGTGGTGTTTTTTAAGTGACTTTTTTTCTGTTTTCAGAGAAAGTTTCATTGTGCAAATTTGACCTCATGGCCTCGCTGGCTGTATTCCTTATATGATGCTGTAAGTAACTTACCTTGAACTTTGTGCTCCTGGGGGAAGCCATGGCATAATTAAGGGTCATTAGAACAAAATAGGCTTTCATACCCAGTGGGGTTTAATTTTTGAAACTGATGCCATTCATTACATTTAAGTGGAACAGGCAGGAATCATACTGCTGGATAGACTTGGCTTTTACTTTGATAGATTTTTAGTCTTCCCTCAGTTTATAGTGGCTTGCAGCTTCAGGACAAGATACTGAGGCATTTTAGGGTTTATTAAGCATTTGAAATGTTGCTGAGTCAAGGGCTAGTTACATTTAGGGAAAATAAAGAATCCTTCAACAGTGTTGTGGTTTTTTCCTAAACAAGTGTATTAACTTCAATTTCCTGATCCGTGGTGTACTAACTGATATATCCACCAATTAAGAGACTACTGGAATAGTTCAGAGAATCTGGCTTTTAGACACAAAGACTGTGTTCAAAGCCTGATTTTTGTTACTTTTCCTGTGGTGTGGGGCAAAACTTGATTATATATAAAATGGGGATAATGGTAGTTATTGTCTTTGGGATGTCGCAGACGGTCAACAAATGTTAGCCTTCGCTTAGGGAATCGGCCCGCCCAGATATGGAGCCCTGGGCAAACTAAATCCATAGGTTGTGAGCACTTACCACATGGGCAACACGAAAGGAAACTACAGTTTCGTCTGCCCTTCAGCAGCTTTGGAGCCATTACAAACACACACTAGACAAGAGTGGTTTTTGCGTCCACTGGTGAAAAGACAGTGAGCATCTTATGTAGGAAGTGCCAAGGAAGGTGGTGTAGGTAGCAAGTGCGGGTGCAGCTTACAGGGACTGACAGAAACAGAAAAGGCTTCCTAGAAAAGGGAAGAAGAGGCCACTGAGATAGCCAGAGCATGGGAGGAGAGGCCTGGAAAGCCAGCCTGGTGCTGTGCAAAGCTGGGTCTTCCATCATTTCTGCCTAAGAAAACAGACACATTTTAACGCGTAATTTTACTAGGTAGTGATGACTTAAATTGCTGCTGATATATTAGGTGTATTGAGTTGACAAGCTGCCAGTAAAGTGTAAACAGTCTGTGAACCTTATCATGGCTACTTTTGTTTCAAACAAAAACAAGGAAACCTTAATGGAGAGAATCAAGAGACAGCTACACGAATGGGATGAAAATCTGAAAGAGGATTCTCTTCCTTCAAATCCAATAGGTATGAAAAATCAGTTTCCTTCCTGTGACCTGTGATGCCTTACTGAAAGAAACTGTTTTATATGTTTTCTGTTTAATGAAACCCAGAAATTTTTTTTAAATTAGTATTCTGAAAAGCATACCCACTTCTTTTGCTTTGAGCACTTATAAAATCTAGTTAGTGGTAGCAAAGGTGTTAAATCCTCTGAGCACTCTTATTTTAGGCAAGGTTTTCATAAAAAGTTCAAGTTGCAGTAAATGGTGTGCATCCAAAAACACTGTCTGAGTGTAAATACTCTCCTTTCCCTGGTCTTCAAGGTGCCACTGAAAGTGACTGCAGTACCAGGACTTATTATTACCTTACTTACAGGTCTGTTAATTAGGTACAGTTTAGCTGTTCTTCTAGTCTGGTAGCAAATAAGTGACTTATTCTAACATGGGTTTGATTTCATGTTTAATTTAAAAGACGACATTTACAAAAACAAGCATGGGAAAGAAGTTTTACATTGTAGAACCTCCTGGGAGTATACTTGAAAGCTGGTATACTGTAGTACTGTTTATAATTGTGTGAAATGTGTTCTTTGGGAACCCTGTAGAGAAGGGTTTACTTCAAAAGGATGTTACCGTGTTCATAAGCTATCCTGATACTTAAACTCATTCCTAAGTTTAAAGCTTGAAAAACCCACCATGTCTTTAAGATTTTTCTTACAGAGTAGCTGCTTGTCTTCCTATTGATGATGTATTAAGAATTCAGCTCCTTAAAATTGGTAGTGCGATCCAACGACTTCGCTGTGAACTAGACATTATGAATAAAGTGAGTAAAATGAATATGTTTGGATGCCCATGTTCAGTCAGTCTAGAGAGTGAGGGTGCACTGTTAGGATCCAACAGCACTATCTGTAGGCTCCATTCATGCAGTCATGGAATTAGAGAACTAGTTGTCCGTCATGGTTTGCATTAAAAATATTTTAAAGGATTATTATATATATATTTCATTTGGGATCATAAGACAGAAACTTGAATTGTTTTGCATTCCTTAGATATAACCTTTATGTGATTTCTTCATTCAGACTCTGAACACTTGATTTTCTACGTGAACCATGTATGGTTTTATATATATATATATATATATCTATATCAGTCACTATTTCTCTAGCCTAGAAGGTCGTAAGTTTTGTGAGTGAATATGTGTTAGATCTCAGATTGTGTTTTTCTTGTCCCATCTTTAAAACTATGTTGTTGAGCGGTTGGAAGGAAAATATGATTGATAATCAGAGGGCTCAAAAAACCTTGGGAGCATTTTCCCCACTAATTTTCTCTTAAATTTTTTTTAGTGTACGTCTCTTTGCTGTAAACAATGTCAAGAAACAGAAATAACAACCAAAAATGAAATATTCAGGTGAGATCTTTATTACATTTTTACTACAGATCTGAATACGTTTTGCCAACTGCTATAACAGATTACAGGCAAGACCGTATTTCCGTTCTTCATATGCTTCCCTCCATTAAATTACAGATACTCAGCAAATGAAACAGGGGGGGAATTAGCTCTGCCCTTGGGTAAGACAGTCTTCCTGATTGGGTACCCAGAACAACAGTGGGGGTATGTAAGCCATTTTTCATAGGTAATGAGCATGGTGAAGTAAAACAGCTGAGCAGTCCTCTCGTCATCCCTCCGCCACCACCACCGCCTGCCTTGTTGAAAATCTGTCAGTTAATTAGAGGATATCTTCTTAGTGCTTAAGGACCTACCTCCCATGATATTTCACTCAAATAAAAGTTTTGCCACATAGCATCCAAGATAAAGGACGACATGCTTCTGAACATGTACCGATGCTGTGTGATAGAAAATAATTTTCAAACAAACACTGACAACAAAGTCATTCATTATGAATCAAGAAGGGAAGAACTGCTGTTTGCAGAGTACTCAGATGCCCAAGAATGACCAAGTGGAAACTTCTCATTGGACTTCCCCTCTCAGGCTCCTTTAGGGGAAGTTGAGTCCGTATATTTGACAATGTATATCTTGAGGAAGATTTAAAAAACTAGCAGTATTTTCCTTTTTTGTCATCATGGAAAACATTTAGACCAAATAAAACTGGGCTGACTGCCAACCTCTTAGTAGTAGTTTTAACTAAAAGGTTCAAAACTAGCTCTTAGAACCTTTGTTTCTTGGTGAACTTTTATTTTACCCCCACTCCACCCCATTTTCACTTGCCTTACCCTCTGTGCTGATTCTCTTTTTTAGTTTATCCTTATGTGGGCCGATGGCAGCTTACGTGAATCCTCACGGATACGTGCATGAGACGCTTACCGTGTATAAGGCCTGCAACTTGAATCTGATCGGCCGGCCTTCTACAGAGCACAGCTGGTTTCCTGGGTAATGTGGTGGTGGTCATTTTCTTTTTTGGTTTTGCCTTAATTGGGAAGAAAAACCCAGAGTTCTAAGCAGAGCTGCTAGAATTATAATCAGAAGTAGACAATGAAGTGAATAATTCTATTTAAATGTTCATTTCATGATCGGCTAGAAAAAGCAGCTCTTCTTGCACAGACCTCACTGAATGTAAGGTTAGCGAGAAAGAAGATGGCAACTGCACTTCTCCTCAGACTAACTATACACTTACTTAATCAATCCACACTCATTTTCCCGTCAGCTCCATCTGAAAATCAACTGTTGTGTGACCCAGTAAAACTACATTTGACCCTCAAACAACGTGGGTTTGAACTGTTTGCATCCACTTAGACGCAGGTATGTTTCACTAGTAGAGTGGTCTGCGGTTGGTTGAATCGTTGGATGCTAGAGGAACTGCAGATACGAGGGCCAACTGTAAATTATAGGCGGATTTAACCCCTGTGTTGATCGAGGGTCCACTGTGTATCTGTATCATATTCTGTAAAGTGTTAAACTAGAGAATGTTACCCAAGCAGTGATGATAGACATGAAACATGCAACATGAAACATGCAGAAACCATGCTTGCTTTTCTTCGTTCGCACGTCTCTTCCTCTTCTGGGACCCCTATAATGCAAATGTTGGTGCAATTAATGTTGTCCCAGAGGTCTCTTAGACTGTCTTCATTTCTTTTCATTCTTTTTTCTTTATTCTGTTCCTTGGCAGTGATTGTCACCACTCTGTCTTCCAGGTCACTTGTCCGTTCTTTTTTTTTTTTTTTTTTTTTTTTTTTTTTGCTTTAGCCCAGGGCCCTTCAGAGTATGACTGTGGGACCAACAGCACCACCTGTTAGATTCCTTGAGCCATACTTACTATCTTCAAGACCCCCTATTATTTGTCCAAATACTGGCTCAGCCTTTTTATTATTTTGAAACGAGGCAAGCTGAGTAGGGATTAGTGCTTATACTTACTGTAATGCCATGGCTTGTGTTTTTGGATGAATTACCTGACAAATCATTCTCATTTTAGAAGAGTAGTCCTGAAATCTTTCTTATGTGAGAAAAACACTTACCTTCCCCATCCCCAGTTTTAACTCACACAAAAGTGCCTATTTCTACAGGTGGTTGCTGTTTTCTAACTAACTTGAGTGCAATACAAAACAAAGAAAACGCAGATGCAATTTCGTGTGGTCCTGGCAACCAGCGATTTGTATAAAAACATCTGTATTAATAAGATTATTTTTTTTCTTTCTTGGCATTGGAGAAAAAAATTTTAAGCACAGCTTAAGAGCACAATCAAGTAATATATATATAAAGACTGACGCATCACCATGATGAACCATACAAAACTACAAAATCTCTTTTGTGAGGTTTGTTTCAGGAAACTGCATATAAATCCAAACTCAGGGTATTCCTTCTTCCCATCTTAGAATTTGGCTCTCAGATCTGTCTTCCCAACAGGTTTATACGGTGATAGGCTGGGATACACAGCCTCAGCTGATACCTTTCCTTAATTTATAGGTTCGCCTGGACCATTGCCCAGTGCAGGATCTGTGCAAGTCATATTGGATGGAAATTTACAGCCACCAAAAAAGACATGTCACCTCAAAAATTCTGGGGTTTGACTCGATCTGCTCTGCTGCCCACGATCCCAGACACTGAAGATGACATAAGCCCAGACAAAATAATACTCTGCTTATAAACGAATACGGTAGGGATGAGGTTCCTTAGCAAAATCGGTATTCTAACATCAGGTCTGCTTTGGAAATTACTCCTTTTGATGCATACCGAAGTAAAAAGCAACATTACCTGGAAGGTTGCAGTTTCCTAGTCAAACAACAACAGTATTTGAAGATTTTAGACTAAAATAAACTATTGAAGAGGATGAAAAGCAGTCTAGAATACTTGGTTTGGGAGTTATCTATTTTAGGAGCTTGGTGCTCTTTCTTACTCTGTGGGATCTGATAGGAGATGAAGACATCTGTGAAACAAACTGGTGAGAGTATTTCCTGCACAACATACCTGAAATTCCTATAAATTCTTATAATGTGAGGGTTCCTCACTTGATCCTGATCCATGGAACAGAATGGCACGTTTGTATCAGTGCTGCAAACAGCACAAGTTTCCAAAAGCTAGGGTGCCAAGCACTAGTACTGTTCCTTTTTGAAAGAGGCAAAGCAGTGTGTATTATTTTAAAAGGGCTTTGTTCTTTCTGAATTTCATTAATACTTTCAAAATTTACAAATCAGTATATCAGAGAAACTAAAGAGTTACCTAACACACAGTTTGAGCCCCACCATGTTTGTTAGTGAAAATCGTATTTTGTGTATTTGCTCAGTGTTTGTTTGGTTATTCTGTTCCAAAGTTTCATTTGAACCTAAGACTACTGTGGAACACAGATGCTAAAACACGTCCCCTTCCTCCAAGTGAGATGTGCTAATGTATTTTATAGGCTACTTTGTTCAATGTAAACTAAAGAAACTCTCTAAGTAAACTGTAAGAGCAAAACTAAATTAAACATGTTCTTTGTTTAAATAATGTAAAATATCTACTCATAAGCAGATAATCTAGGTGTAAGAAATACTTAAGATAAGTTCTAGACAGACTGATTTGCCACCTACCTCTTTGCTTATACATTCAAGGGGTTTATTGGATACTTTTACATTTGCGTAATTTTGATGTTCCTTCACTGCTTTACATATTCACTGGGAGAAGTTCAGCTAATCGGGTACAATGGATGTGGCCAAAAACGGACTGTTAAATTTCTCATGTTCGAATTTGTCAATATTTTCTTCTTCCAAACATGCAGTGGTTTTGACTGCCTAGCCTAGAATCCGCAACCGAGTATCATGTTGCACATTTATGTAAAGAGAGTAAATGAAAAGCAACTCAAGAACGCTGTCGGTTTTTTAGCATGTGCCCCTTCTGTATTCGATATGCCTAACCTTTACTTTGTTACAACTAATAATAACCTTGGGTTTTTAATGACTCTACTGTTTGTTCATATAGTCAGTCTTACACTGAACTAAAACGTCCTCTAAAGGGGATTCCAGGGAGTTCTTTTCAGTAGCACAGCGCATCTCTAAACCAGGTGTAGTGAGGGAACATTTGGCCCCCCTGAAGAGTGTAATCTCAGAATGTTCTATATTATTTACTGACACTTGCAAATAAAATTTCCTGGTATATAAAACACGCATATACTATTTTAAAAAGTCTCTTTATACGTGACGAAACCAGACCTCAAACAGCTAAATCTGCATACTTCCTATATAGCACAGTACGAATCCTACAGTGTTGGTTCCAAATATGTATCTTAAATATTTCAGTGGGTTATGTTTTAAGACGTTTAATTACTGACCTGTGTGCAGTCGTTTCTGAGGCTCCCTTTCTTGCAACATAGCCCCTGTTTGTACACTGTCACACTTCCTCTTAGCAGGGCTTTAACAGAAATATGCTTTTCAAAATTGTTTTATCAAGGTCCAAAGTTGCTATTCACCAGTAGCGCACAAAGATGCTCTGACTGGCTACACAGAAAGGAAAATCATAAAATGTCAGAATGAACAATACTTTGTGTCATACACCTCTTCACCCACTGCAAGCATCTGGCCTCAAATCTTTAAAGAGCAAAAGGCCATAACCTTTATTTTACTTTAAAGCAACAGGAGTACTGTCACTATGTATATATGGCACCTGTTCTTATTATATATATATATAATATATATATACACACACACACACACACACACACACACACACACACACAGATACCCACATTTACCTTCCAATTGCTCAAGACTAACCCTCAAGCTAATCTTTCCCGGCTTAGCAGCAAGTTACGGAAATCGTTCATCATGGCAGAGAAAAGTATCAACTACATACTAAAGTACAGCTCCCTAGAACAAGTCCTGAGTGTAGG